GCGTGTGCGTGTGTGTGTGTGTGTGTTTGAGGGAATCAATTGTGTGAGGACTGACAACCGGCATGTTGGTATGCATGTTTATGTGTGTTTGTGAAGAAGGCCTCCTGTGAGTGCAGCACGGGATGGCTAAAACACAGTTGTCTATTGGTGTCTTTTGAATTGAACGTGACCTGTTGCGTTAACACCAGTCTGTTTACTTTTACTCAAGTCCTCTGTGATGTTATGTTAGTTTTGGTATTTTTAGCCTCCAGGGTTCCCACGCATTGACGTGTTTGGTGTCTAATTTGAAGTATTTCCATGAGGTAAACAAGCAGCGGCATACTCGAGCATTGCTTCTATGTCTCCAACTGCAGATGGATTTTCTTTCGCCCTTTGACCGAGCAGCTAAGCGTTGATTATGTTCTTCTCAGAACTATTCGGAGAGTTAGTTCCTGGTGGTATAGCTAGCTGACAACCACACCTGTATGGAGTTGATCTTATTGAATGGCTCATGGTTTGTGGTTAAACAACACGCGATTCTATTCCTAATACATCATTTCTGTGTTATTGTCAGAGGTTTGGTTTACTCAGGGGGCTTGAGCGCAGCTTGAGATGCGAGGTCGTCTTCAAATTCAAATTGTTCAATGTTCTGTAAAGCGCTTTGTTACAGCACCCAAAATGAAAACTAGGGCTGGATGTACTGTAATCGTGATTTAGCCTCTGACTTCTAATGATCTTGAAAAAAAAACAAAAAAAAAATAAATACATTATCATCAAAGAAAAATGGTGAATATGCAGAATGCTATACTGGATTTACAAGTTCCTGTGTGAAAGTACTCTGAATGCACCCTTCTGATTGTGCAGCAAGTGTGTAGCGTAAGTGATTCTTCCGTCCCTCAACGTTCGTTAAGCTGTTTAATGAACCCCCAAGTTGGAGTTAACTGTAAAACCAAACACACAGCAAAAACAATTACACACGTTGTAGATTTAAATTGAAGATATTTCTTTTTAAAAACATCCCAGTGCTAATGATAAAGTCAATCTAAAATCCCATTGAAATGCTAATGGGAATTAGCGTCGACTTCAAGGAATGATATTCCTTCAAATGACGAATATTCACACACAAACAGGTTTCTAAATTCTGTTTTTTGAACACCGGCCAATGTGGCTGATGCCTTGCTAACATTACCAGCCAATCAGAATTCCCACGAGCCAATTTTATTATTCTTTTTTAACTCCACTGTTTTTACCTAACTTTCTCAGACTATCAACGCTGGTTGCACTCTAACCTGTAGTGTGAAGTACAGGCTGCCAGTGACCGTATTAAATGTCATTATGTAGGATTACGGCAATGTATTTATTGGAGATGTAGGAGTCACTGCCAGTGGTACAAATGACCAAGAACGAAACATAGCGTGGAGTAAGGTTTGAATTTGAAAGATTGTGTTTCCTTGTTTCGATCCGGTTCCATATAATTCTCGATTTCAACTCTTTTTGGAGTGTCTAAACTACGGCCATCCATTTTTAGCATTTGTTTGCAGCACAGACTCAAATAACATTTGACACAGCCTGTGTCATTTGGCTGCATTGTACTATGGTATTTACCTTCTACACTGAGTGGCAAGGCAGGAGAACAGAAGGTTGTTCTCATCTCTCACATCCTTGTTTTCAAATAATCAGTCATAATTCAACGGGACCACCGTCCACACTAAAATCTTGAAAAATAATTGAGGTTTTTCCTTTATTGCCAAGCTGTATTTATTTTTTAACTACACAGCATACAGTATTAAAAAAAAAAAAACAATCTCGCATATCTTTACCGACACTGAGGAATTTCTTTAGTGCTAAATGAAAGAGGTCAAAGCAGACCTTGACTCTGATTCTTCCCTATGCTGCCTTTCAGTATTTGCACACCCTTGGTTTAAATGTAGATGCTCACCAGTTATTTTTGGATAAAGTCATCTGAACTTTTGTACAAATCTATTTCTATTATCTTTTCACTTTTTTTAAAAATAATTTTACGATGAATTTCTCACAGGGTTATTTTCAACCAGTACTGATATCAAATGTATGAACTTGAATTTAGAAGTTATTAAGTTTTTACTTTCACTAGAGAGCATTGTTTTTGAAAACCTCATGAAAATAAATGTACACGCTTGTAAATGAGTATACACTACGCTGAGCTTTCACTGACGGGCTAGCCTGTTGTGTCGACAGATAAAAGCAAAGCAATTCGGAACCCAGTTGGGATGAGCAGTGTGTAGTAACTATGTGCCAATTGCGGACATGCTCCCTCGCTTGGTCGAGAAAATACTGCACATATATTAGCTGGTTATTTGCATTTGAGTTGGCCCACCGTTTGGTTGTTCGATTAGTCAATATTGACAACAGACGTATTTTTATGGTTTAACTCACCTAATTATGACATTAAAGTTCAGCGTGCTGTAAGCTTTGGCTCGGGAGGGAGCACCAAGCTGGTCAGAAACGGTACTTTATTTACTCACACACGCATTCCTGTACAATATCATCTTATTGTTAAGTGTTCCACTTAGGCGATTCTTCATTTAATTCAACAAAGTTGAGAGACACTCGTAATGGGCGCCGGGTGCATTCAGGTGACGCGTGCGTGTGCGCAGGTCTTCGTGGGTCTCAGCAAGTCTACGTCCGGTCTGGCGGAGAAGTCACCATAACTGGGAACCAGAAATTTAACATGTGAGCGATTCTGGGAGAATAGTCCCCTTCCAATTGATCCTTGAGACTCGATTCCCAACGCTAAGTATATCTAAGTGACGGAGTTGCCTCATGCATCACCGACCAAAAATGATCAACGCCAAAACGAATTTTAACCAGCATGTGGCGGGTGTCAATTTAGAATCCTGCACACCAACGCTGAAGGAACACATACAGACAGGTAATATAACAATACTCTTATTCGTTTTAGCCTGTGAAAAAAAACCCAGTTGTATTAACTTAGTAGTAGAAGACTTTCTTCTTCTACTCGTCTCATTGTAAGTGTGTATTCCATTCACGGCACCATATTGCCCTAAAAACCGACACGCACAACAGCCTGTATTTATTTTTCCTCAATTATTCATTCATTCATTCATTTATTTTCCGAACCACTTTATCCTCACGAGGGTTGCGGGGGATGCTGGAGCCTATCCCAGCCATCTTCGGGCAGTAGGCGGGGGACACCCTGAACCGGTTGTCAGCCAATCGCAGCGCACACAGAAACGAACAATCATTTGCGCTCACACTCACACTTAAGGACAATTTGGAGTGTTCAATCAGCCTGCCATGCATGTTTTTGAAATGTGGGAGGAAACCGGAGTACCCGGAGAAAACCCACGCAAGCACAGGGAGAACATGCAAACTCCACACAGGAAGGCCGGAGCCGGGATCGAATCCACGACCTCTGCACTGTGAGGTCAACGCGCTAACCACTGGGCCACCAGGCCACCTTTTTTCAATTCAATTAGTGGATTCTTATTTTCCTTTGCTACTAATTTTATCTGTTGTTTTGGGTTATATTTACACTTGCGTTTTCAAGGATTGAAGGAATTCCTACACACGTTTCCACATTATATGATCCCCGAGGTCCCAGGTTACCCCAGTAAATCCCAAGACTTGTTCAAATTAAAATAAAAAAACAAAATAGGATTAAAAAAATAATAATAAGGGAGATGCTTATTCACGCTTTGAAATTTGTGCAAAGATGCAAGACAGCAAACGTGGATTTAGCAGAATACAAATGCAAACGGCTTGAATTTCACCTGATATTTCCAAGGTCATTTTGTACTTGACAAAAAGAATAATGTTGGAACATATAGTCAAGTGTTTCATGTGCAGGGATAAATGGGCCTGAGGCTACGATGAAGTGTGTCAGAATTGTTATTGTGTTCATTCTGTTGTTCCACTGTCATTCTCACCATTTCCTTCTCTGTCTCTATAGAGGTAGACCTCTTCGCACCGCCACAAATGTCTGAAAAGATTCTACTGCGCTTGTTGAAGCACCCCAATGTCATCCAGGAGCTGAAATACGATGAGAAGAGCAAGCGGGCGCCAGAGCACTACCTCTTCCACAGGAACAGACCTGTGGACTATTTCATCCTCATTCTGCAGGTTGGCGGGACTGAGAACCTTGCCAAGCATCATTCTAGTGCTAAAATACTTTGCAATTAATGAGCTAAGAAGTAAGAAAGTAGCTTTAAATATGATAAACTTTTTTTTTTTTTTTTTTGAAGAGAAGTGCTTGTTAAGTTTTAAATTCCTATTTTTATTTTTGGAAAGCGTGAGCTTAGGAGCTTGTGATATGGTATTTTGCAGCCCCACACTCCATTTCAGAAGGTGGCAGTAAGGCACCAAAAGTTGTTTGCTAACCGCTGAATGACAAGACACAAAAAGAAGAAGAAGACATCGGAAAGAAAAGCATTGATTCATAGTCACGGCTACTTGCTTTGGATATCCACAAGCTTTTAGATGAGAGGGAGATAGACACACTGGCGGACCAGCGAAATTTACTGACGGAAGCGTGGTTAGAACAACATGACGGACTGACCAAATGATGATTCCAGTTTGCTTTGGCTTGAAGAAATAATGGACTGACAATGACGGATGGGTGTCCAGATGTCCAAAATGTTGTCAATTTCCCACCTGTGTTTCTTTTTACACTTAGATGGTACAGTAATTGCATTTTCACAAAGGAACGGCTGATTTCTATTTCCATTGTTTCCTTTATTGGTTACAACTACAAAGTAACTGTTTTTTTTGACAAAAGATGTTTGACTGAATACCAAAAGATAAAACCAACATTACATCCAAAAATGTTGATTTTAATTTTTCTTATGATTATAAATCTCTGAATCTGACTTCCACAGGGCAAAGTGGAAGTGGAGGCAGGAAAAGAGGGGATGAAGTTTGAAGCAGGACCATTTTCCTTCTATGGAATGCTGGCGCTCACCGTCTCACCAGGTGAACTCGCTGACTGTACTGTATTTTCTTCAAGTTGTCAGTGACTCACATATTTTTTTTTTGCAGCTTTAGATTCATTTGAAGCTTTGTTCGTGACGGACTATAATTACAAAAGTATGAGTGAAAGAATGTTTAGGACCAGCCATTATTGACTTCCTGTCTATTTGAATAATCGGTGACCTTATTTTCAACAAACAGTCGTTCGTGATCCAGCCTTTGTCAGTCAAAATTTAAAAAGCATTTTGGACCAGTGACCCTCCCGCAGTGACGATAGTAGCGATGCCCTCTCTCCTCTCAGTTCATTCACAAACTTCTCAACTATTCCCCAACCCGTTGCCACCATTTTGATCAGTAGATGGGAAACGAGAGACACCTACTGGTGAAAATGAAAATGTCCTGCTGTGTGCAATCTCAATTCGAAGTTTATATCTTTATGATTCTTTCATCATTCCCTCTTTCAATCAGTCTCACCGATTGCAGCTGGCGTCTCCGTTTTAAGCAGAATTATTTGCTGTTGATTTTACCTCCGTGTGCATTACATGTATACTAGGATACTTACCTTTCTTTACTTCTCTGTTCCCCTTCTTTTCTCTGCCCTCCCCTCCTCCCAAAGTCCCGCTGTCACTTTCTCGAACATTTGTCAATAGGGCCGATTCATTAGCTGGATCACCAGGTACAGTATACGTTTCTCTACTCATACCCATCTTCACATTGAATGCTCAGCTACTTGCTAACCCTGACTTTTTATGTGCTTTATGTTTTGTTTAACACTACCCTATTTAGGAGCGTAAATATGTTTCCTCATGTTTCGGGGTTACTTCCTAAAAGGTGATGTCGAGAAATTGGTTGCACGTAAATGACACGTCCAATGCATGTGAATGAAAACGAAGGGACACGGCGCAAAGAAAAAAAAAAAACGATGTTACGCCCTCATCCTCTCAGCCATTATTCAAGGGGGCTGAATGGTGCTGGAGACTGGAGGCCCCAGACTCCGCCCTCTCCCTCTCGCCCCTAACCTTTAACCCCCTGACTGCAAAAACAAGACCTACAGCTACAGCCCCCTGCTGGACACCACTGTGCGCACATACACAGGAGAAGCACGTACACATATGTTCACTTGCACAGACTGCGTGCATAAGATCTGTCATAGCTGGAATCGTCGTTGAGTACATATCTTTCGCATTTTTTTTTCTCGTTCCAGGCCTGACTGCCACACATTGATGTTGGTCTGGCTTTCACACACATATATATTGTGTGTGTGTGTGTGTGTGTGTGTGTGTGTGTGTGTGTGTGTGTGTGTGTGTGTGTGTGTGTGTGTGTTTTTTAAAATACTTTTTGGGGGTTTTAAATAAGGACCTGACCCCTGCTGCTTTTTGAAAGTGGAGTAGTAATCTGCAAGACTTCACATGCCAGGTCTTTGGCCCACTGTGCTCGGCCTGCACACTCAAACACACACACACACACACACACACACACGAATGCTACTTGTGAGTCTCATAGACACCGACTTATTCCAATGTTGGATTACATACATTCCAGTCAGCGTCGTAACATTGGTTTTAGCCAAGCTGTTTTCACTTTGTTGTGTGTGATTTTCACTAGGCTTCTTTAAGTAGTGGAAAATATAATCTGCCTTTAATTAAAAAAAAAAAAATAGAGAACAAGTACTTTCTATGGAGTGGCGCAGGCAAGCTGCCTCATTGAGAGTCACCAACTCATGAAATATTTTCAATATCATCAGTGTCTTGGAACTATCTTCACATGATAGTAAAGTGCAATTTTGATTTAAATACACCACCATTGAATGTTAAAGTAGTCAGGAAGAGGGAAGTTGAATATGTCAAAAGCAAAAGTAGATGTGCCCACATACACGCATAGCTACACAAATAGATAATGATAGAATGACAGTAAGTCGTTCAATAAATTGATTTCTACAATGATCCAGAGGTATTGTCCCATGCGGTTGTCATATTTATGAATGACAAGGTTTTGCCAGGTTGTTTCCATCTGAAACTAAAATTGACTTTTGGGACAATTTGGTGGGCCGTGACTTAGAAATTTGGACTGGGATGTGGAGTTAATGTAATTGCGCAAAAAAAGCGCCCTTGTGGCCAAGGGCCATCGGGCCACCGTTAATGTCGTGTTCAGCTGAGGTCACCAAAGTGGACATTCTCAGCGCTTCGAATGTGCATACAAATTCTCTCCAAAAATGTTATAAACAGAATTGGTGACCAAGGACAGGCTCGGCGGAGTCCAACCTGCACTGGAAACAATTTCAATTTACTGCCAGCAATGCAGACCAAAGTCTGACACCAGACATATAAAAAGTGAACAACCCTTATCCATCTCTCTCTCTCTCTCTCTCTCTCTCTCTCTCTCTCTCTCTCTCTCTCTCTCTCTCTCTCTCTGTCTGTCTGTCTCTGTCTGTGTGCTTTTATAAAATAAGACATCCCTGAGGGTGTTTGTTGCCTTGCTCAAGGGCACCCATTTCTTTCTGTATTTGTTCCATTGCAGTATTTGGATCTATTAATTGGACCAAAGACTTTCCTTAGTAAGTTTTGTCTAAATTTAAACTTTGTGCTCAATATTATTTAAATATATATATTCAGTTTGAAATCCAAGTGCGCAAAAACTAGAAAATGGTTTTAGTACACTCTTCTGTGTCCAAGCAATGTCTGTGCTCTGTGCTTGTTTTTCATCCGTTTTGTATAGTGGGTGTATTTTTGTGCAAAATTCATACTTGATAACTTCTCTCCCAGAGAATAAATCTCCACCGCGGCCGTTTGGACTGAACTACTCGGACTCTCAGAACAGGAGCGATCGAATAGATGCCATCACTCCGACTTTGGGCAGCAGCAACAATCAGCTGAACTCCTTCCTGCAGATCTACGTGCCTGACTACTCTGTCCGAGCGTGCTCAGACCTGTACTTTATCAAGGTGAGCAGAAGGGACTGCAACCTGTGTGCCCGTTGCTTGATTGAAGTGACTCCCACTCATCGAGTGCAGGAGTCTCCAGCAGCTCGCTCACAAACGGCTGCTGTTAGAGAGGAGCTCACCAAAGGGCTCCAAGAATTTCATTGCATTGAGTGTTTGAGTGGACTCGAGTTCCAACAAATTGTCTCTTTCTTTGCCCCGTGATTGACTTGCGACCAGTCCAAGGATGTCGTCTAAAAGCTTTCTGAAAGTTCTCTTTTCTCCAGGGATTGAATTATTACAAATGTTGAAATATTAAATAGAGCTAAATTTTCTCTGAAAACTTGTACGTAATCCGAATTGTACGTACAAAGGAGCATTCATAACTTCAGGTTAGACCGTAATTACTTTTTTTTTTTTTTTTTTAAAGTGTGCGGTTGAAAATAAATACAGTACAATATAAATACAAGTGAAAACATTTCATGTTGGAGAAATAACACATCAAACCAACAAAAGTGCTTGTTAACATTGAGTGAGGAGGGGAGAAAGACATGGCTGATCCCCCCCCCCCCCCACAGATCATATTTACAATGTCAAGTCGTATTGTACTGTTTCAACACATACAACAAAAATGATTTGCATTGGTTTTGAAAACTGCAAACTACCTCTTGACAAAATCAATGTACCACTGAATAAGAAGTAGAAGTCGAGCATGTGCCACTAGATCATGTAGGTGTCAGGGATGCACTGTCCTTTGCCATCTGTCAATCATGCCAAAATGAATCTCGAACTTCTTGCTCCGGCATGTAACCGCATGGCTCTCTCCTCACCGTTGCCTAGGTAACACGGCAGCAGTACCAGAACGCCGTGATGGCGTCCCGCATGGACAAGACGCCGCAGTCCACAGACAGCGAGTTCACCAAGATTGAGCTGACGCTGAACGAGCTGGAGACCCCCATCACGCTCGCCGGCACTGCCGGCCACGCCCCGGCTGTGACTGTAGCCTTGGCCAACGAGGCTTCCCACCTTCTCAACCAGCAGCACAATTGCGTGGCCGTGAGCAGGAGCAACCACAGCGCGCACAACGAGTGGCCCATCTAGCCCCGCGCCCAGCATGGTGGAGGCCCGAACCCTCCGCCTTTCTGCCTGACGGACGCACGGTGCAGTCGTGTAGCTAGAGATGAGGTAACACGGGGGGGAGCGTGGGCAGGCACAGTGCACCCACTCAGTCGGTTGGTAAGGCCCCTCCCAAAAGGAGAGGTGGGGGGGGTGAGGGGGGCGGTGGGCGTTGAACACCCTCCCACAGTTGTTGGCAGCCCTGTTCAACTACACGTTCTAAAGACGGTGCTGTGACTGAGATTCCTTTTGGGACGATTTGACACTTTCATCGCGGTAACTTGGACGAGAAGACAACAGACTGCACACACACACACGTGCGCACACACACACACACACACACACACACACACACACTCAAACACACTGTACTTTCCACTCAGGCCAAAGACCTTGGTCCCCTGTGCCGCTTTTTTTTTTTTTTAAACACTGGACACACCCTCCCAAACAAATCCCACC